AAGTGATCTTCTACCCTTTGTAGTGGTGTAAATTGGAGAAATCCTTATGATAGGGGGTGCGAGGCAGGTTGAATCATACCTACTCTCCTGCGGGAGCTGTTTGGGCACAGAGTCTCACCGGGTTTCAGTGTGAATTAAAATCTGTTGGCAAAACATCGTTCTCTCAATTGAGTTCTCTGTGACCATCTGTTCTCTTCATGCCTGAAGCTGAAAGGAAAAGACAGTAGAGTAGCTATCATCTCCTCCAAAGTATCATTCCAGAGTAATATTTTACGGGGAGACAAGCCCTTATTTGGATGGTAACCAGAGCCGGTTCAGGATACGTTCATTAGCATGGTGTTCAAGGTAAATCGCAAGTCAAGCACCAGCATCACTGGGTGTGAACGTGCATCTTGACAGGCAATAGGAGAAAACTGTACTCGTGTGATGTGACTGTGATAATGGCCGTTGTGTTGTCTGTTGAGAGCTAGAGCGACAGGAAAATAGATGAACCTACAGTTTCAATACCCTGCTTGGGACTCTGTTGATGGATGCTTCCTCTGCAAGTCACATGTGATTTTCATCATTTTTTCTGTTTTCAGACGTGCCGAAGGATCAGCAGTTTCAGGCTGTCCAGGCTGCTATTCTTCTTCTCCCAAAGGAAAACCGAGAAGCTTTGAAAATCCTCCTGTTCTTTCTACGAGATGTGGTTGCTTTTGTTGAGGAAAACCAGATGACCCCAACCAACATTGCTGTCTGTCTTGCACCTTCTTTGTTTCACCTTAACACCCTGAGAAGGGATAGTTCCTCCTCCTCCACTAGGTATTAGCATCCTAACGCTGGCATTGCTGCTGTCCATAGTGTTCTTTCAATGATGTCTTCTGTAGCTGGCCTAGGATCAGTGTCTGCTTTTAAGGGGGACATAGTGTATGTGTTTTGGGGTTTGTCTCAAATACGGTTGTTCAGGCCCAGCAGGAGCTGACCACGGTGCACGCAGCGATCCAGCAGCTCTTTGTCCAGTGTAAAGAACAATGGTGAGGCCCCGCTGTCACACTCCTGCCTCGTCTGCATGCGAGCTAGCCTGCCTCCCTTGCAACTCCTGTACTCTTCGCAGTTGCCCACAGGTCCAGCTGCCCAGGAGCCCAGCACGTGGCCCACTGTTTGTGTTAAGGTGGTGCTGGCCATTGAAAATGTAGCTCCTGCACTGGCAGCCTGAGCCCAGGTGCAGCTTTAAGGCCCTGCAGCTATCTGGCAGATTGTAGCGGTTGCTGGCACTAGTTCTGCTGGGTGATAACGGGATCGTTCCTGCCAAACCGAGCCACAGGGATTCTGTAAATTTATCTCAGTAAGTAGAAGTATCTGGGTTGCATAACATCCCCTGTTTGTACGTGCAGGGAGGAAGGTGCCCTTGGGCCGAAGTAGACAAATAATCTCTGAGTGCATTCATGCCTTATCTGGTCTTCTGAGGCAGGGCTGTTTGCTTTACTCCATGCTCCTGTGTATGGACAAAGACGTATCAGGGTAGAAAAGGACAGGTGAGTTTGATGGAAACATTGTGCACCCATCAGAGTAGCAAGTTCATCACCTCACATGGGGATCTAAAGATGAGGACTAGTTCCAAAGCAGAAGCTGTCAGAAGTGCTATTGGCATCTTTCAGGATAATAATGCAGGCTCTGGATAGCGCAGAGAGGGGAAAGGAAACACTAAGGACTTGTCTTTTGAATGGTACAAAGCATCTGGAAATGCCTAAGCTAACTAGAGCCTAGGGCTGCCCAGCTCTCCCTGGGCTGAGCCAGCACATGGCTGGGGGCCGTGTGGCCATGGCGAGGGCAGCTGGGGATGCGATGTCCTTCCCAGATTGCAGTTGTGTTTGAGCACCTGAAGAATCATACTTTGGGAGCTGTACCTCTTTGGTTTACATAAACATTATGCTGAAATACTAGGACCAAAAATAGAATCTGAGTTTTCTCTTTGTTGTCACTGTTGAGAAGCCAGGACGCTTTGATGCTTTAGCTTTTTTGTAACGGGGCATTAATGCCAGAGTGCAGGGTTCCGACTTCAAAGGGCAGAAGCTGACAGGCCTGACTTTGAGGAGCAGTGCTGAGGACTCTTATCTTCCACCCAATTTTCAAGCCATTTGGCAGAAATGCACATAGATAAAAGTATCAGAAGCCAGGATTAATGATGTCATATAATGATTATGAATTAAAAGAGGGGACTGCTTTTGAATCGTGTTTGGTGTGGTTTGGGCCAAAGGATTTAAAAGGTTCTGCATAGGCTTTGCAGAGTATCAAAGGAGCTTGATATTTGAAGGCTACGCACAAATCAGTTTGGAGTCATGGCTGTCTTTGGCCAAGTGTGTGATGATGTGTTTCGGAAATAAAAAGCCTTGACTTGCCTTTCTTGGGCATACATTACTGCTGGTCAGTACTGCCCCGGGCACTTTCGGGGTGTGCTGGGACGGAATGCTGTCTATAGACCTTGCTGCAGTAACCTGCAGGCGTGAGCCCCTACATGGCACCTAAAGGCCCTTCAATGCAGTGTGTTTTTGCTGAAGCTGCCGGTTTCCAGCCCCGAGGCAGGCCAGCCGAGTAGGCATGTTGTACTTGTGGTTCACAGCACCTTGCTCACACAGTCTTCCTTTTGCCTTCCCCTCTCCGTAGATCTAGTCAGAGGAAGTGCAGCTTGGGGAAGCCAGACCAGAGGGAGCTGAGTGAGAACCTGGCAGCAACGCAGGGCTTGGCCCACATGATAATGGAGTGCAACAGACTCTTCCAGGTACGTCACTTGCTGTAGCAAAGCAAAAGCCCTGAGCAGCCTGATGCAGGTGGCCTGCTTTGAGCAGCAGTTTGGACCAGAGCCCTGGCGAGGCCCCTGCCAGCCCAGCTGTTTCTCTGAGCCTGTGATAGGTGTGAGTCCTGCTGACACCAGTAGAGAGAAAATTAATGTCATTGCAGATTTTACCGCAACTATTTGTAAGGGCTGTGAGAGCATTCCTCCATTTCTCCCTCCAAGCCCCAACTGCTATGGGGGTTTGACTCCCTGGGCTTGGGGCCAACTTAGAGCGTACCCGTGGGGCAGAGGCTGCCATACACTCTTGCAGGGAGGCCCCGGCCAGGGCCGACCATCCCGTCTTGCGGGAGTAGGTTGAAGTTGAGGTTTTGCTGCTGGGGCCTGGCCGGAGCAACAGCCATGCCTGTGCTTGGCCATGGACCCCAGTAATCGGGATCCGGAACTTGACCCACAGACTGACTTCCCGGCTTGATCTCGGCCTTTCCTCGTCATTATGGACTTGCCTGGCGATCACTAGGCTGTGGCTGACCCTGGTTGCTGTCACTGGACCTGATCCTGACCTCCCTTGCTGACTCACCTTCCTAGCTCAACCTCAGACCTCATCACCATGGACGTGTCTGATGATCCGGACTCTTGGCTGACCCTGGCTGCCATCCCTGGCCCAGCTCAGGTACTGTGGGACCGGGCGGCTGCCCTGCCAGCCCTGTTACCCCACTCGACTCCCAGGCCCCTTCCCTTGGGGGCACCGCTGGTCCTTGGTGCACCCCGACAGTCAGCTCGGGCCTTCTCGCACTCCGCTCCAGCATCATGGCTGGGCAGGAGCCGATGCCCCATGGCTCCCCTGAACTGACACATGGCCCTGCCTCAGGGCTCCCCCAGCACCGAGACCCCCAACCAGCCTCTTGCTTCTGAGTGACACCCACCCCCCCCAGCCTAGCCTGGGGTCCGATCTCCCCATGGCATCAATTCCCAACCTGGCTAGGGCTCCTAAGTGACACCCTTCACTCCCAGCCCAACTGTGGGTCCCCATTTCCTCAGTGGTGGCCTGAACCCCTATGCCCAGCCCTAAGGACCATTGGGGTGTCCTGATGCCTGCTGCCTGCCCCACACCCTACAGTCAGCCCTGGCAACACGGGAGCTAGCCCCATCCCTGCATGGCCCCCCGAAATAGCCCCCCAGGGACTCTGAGCGGCCCTTGGACCCACGGACATCCTGCATGCTCCTGCTACGACCAGGGCACTTCACAACAAGCGCCGCTGATGCCGTGCCTGTGAGCTGTGGGGCTGCCCCTCACTGAGGGGTGCCAGGACCCTGCTGGTGTGCCCCCTGCCCTCTCAGGGGAGGGGTTTGGTGCCAGCACCCAGAGACCACCTGGAGAGGGCTGTCCCCCTTCTGCTGGTGACCTCGAGGAGAGGCTGCAGGCAGCTCCGCCGGGGGGCCTCAGCCATGCCCGTGCCTGGACACGCACCTGCTGCTCTGGACCTGGACCCCGACGCTTGGCCCTGCCCGGTCACTGTCGCCGTTGCTGGCCA